TATTATTATTATTAATATTATTATTATTATCATTATCATCATCATCACCACCATCATAACCATAATTACATTTTATTATAATTATTATAACAATATACCATTTCGATAACATTCAAAATCAAGACGTTTGCCCTTGTATGCAAACAGGTTATAACAACCTCATAAAACTGCCCCAATCATCATTTCAAATTGCATGCTTATTAATTTTGATTTTGGCAACGTAAGCAGCCTTTTTTTCTTAGTTGCATGGAGCTATAAAAGACTACAAATTCAACAAATGGAAGTTGACAATGTATGAGCAATGGCACAGGAAAGCACCACGCTCAACTGATATTGCACAGTACACAGACTTTAAAAAACCACACACGACGTGCCCAGCTTGATTTATTGAATATTTCACGATTAGTTTGTGCTGTAAGAGTTCCCACGTTCCCCGATCAATGTTTACGTTTCCCGATAAACGGGTTCTCAGAGCCTGCAATAAATATTTAAAAAAGTAGCGTATATTATTATTTTTAGAATTATCTCAATACGGTACAGTACAGATAATTTGATCATTTAATTGCTAAATCAACCAGCCCAACAATAAATCAAAAAATGAATTAATAAGGGTTTTTTCATTGATTAATGGATAAACAGATATTTGAATATATTTCTGGACAAATCATCAAACAGTATTCCTCAGTATTCATACTCGCCATGATTCTTATACAGCAAGTAAGAAAGAATGACAGGTGTTCCTCATATTATATTCGAGTGACTAGCCCACTGGCCCTTCAACTCTGCCCGCACCTTCCTTGGAAAACCACGGGGGCTTTCAGGATCTGACACTATAAATTATAAAGCAGTCTCCGTGGAGAGGTTGAGGACGAGACAACAAGGGAACCCCTGAGTGGGAGAGAATTGCCGTCTTCGGTGTTGACGGAAAAGCATGTGAGACTGTTGGTTTTCTCTCTAAATCAGGAATAATAAATGTTTTGTTCTCTCATCAAACCCATGGCTGGGACAATGTCGCTCTCAAACCAAGCCTTTTATGAACAGAAACAGATCTGATGGGCACACGCCGCGCAAATACACACACACGCGCGCGAGCGGACGCGCGCGCGCACACACACACACACACACACACACACACACACACACACACACACACACACACACACACACGCACGCACACACGCACGCACGCACGCACGCACACACACACACAAACACACACACAAACACACACACACACACAACATGGCGTGTCGACCGGCACTCCTGGGCTAGGTGTTTTGA